ATTCATTTGCTGATGGGCACCTGGGTTGTTTCCAGCTCTTTGCTATTGTGAACAAAGCTGCAGTAACATGGGTGTGGCAGCACAGCTTCTTAACACTAGACTACCAGAACTCCATACAGATAGCCATAAGCAATTAAAAAAAAATACCCAACATCATTAGCCATCAGGGAAATGTGAACCCAAACTACGAGATACTATTTCACACCTACTGTTGGCTGTTATTAGGCGCCATGACATTAATTATGACCCATTGTTGTTCTTGTTGTGTACCATAGAGTCAGAATCGATCCAAAGCTGACCCTCTGGTAGGTTTGAATTGCTTGGGAGGGGCTGCTCATCCTTCTCCTGCAGAGAAGCTGGTGGATTTGAACTGAGTGACTTCAGAATTGCAGTGCACCTTCTTGCCACTAGGCTACCAGAACTCCCTGACCCATAGCAGCCCTATTTACAACAGATTGAAGCCTTGCTTGATCCTGCGTTATTCTTGCAATCTCCATACTCAAATAACTATAATAAAAAGGACAAGGATGTGGGAATGTAAAATGGTGCAGCAGCTTTGGAAAGCAGCCTGGAGCTTCCTCAAAAGTTTAAACACAGACTTAATAATATGATCCCAAACTTTCATTGCTACATATGTAACAAGTAAAATGAAAACAGATGTCCATACAAAAACTTTGCATACAGATATTCCCATCAGCATTATTAATAATAATCAGAAAGTGGAAACAATCTAAGTCAATTGATAAACAAACAAAATATGGAACATATGGGATATTATGCTACAATAAAATAATTAATACTGGTACATATTACCTTAAGGAGCTCTGGTGACTGAGTGATTAGGAGTTTCCCAACCAACCTAAAGGTTGTTGTTGTTGTTATGTGCCATCGAGTCACCTGTGACTCATGGCGACCCTGTGTACAACAGCCCTAAACCCTGCTCTATCCCTTGCCAATCTTATTGTCTCCAACATGCCTATCCCCATTACCCTAATGATGGAATCAATCCATCTCATCGAGGGTCTTTTTCTCTTGTACTGTCCCTCCACCCTCCCAAAGATGACGTCCCTCCCCAAAGACTGGTCCCTCCTTGCAACATGTCCAAAATATGTCAGATGAAGCTTCAGAATCCTTGCCTCCAAGAAGCAGCCTAGTTTCACCTTCTCTAAGATGAACCTGTTTGTTCTCCTAGATGTCCATGTTATATTCAATACTCCTCTCCAACACCATAGTTCAAAGGCATCAATTCCCCTTCTATTATCCATAATCATTGTCCAGATTTCTGAAGCATTGCAAGTACTTTCAAAGACCAGGGCCTGAATCAGGTGCACCTTAGTCTCCAAACTGATGTCATTGCTCTTCAGTACTTTGGAGAGGTCTCTGACAACAGACTTCCCAATGCAATTTGTCTTTTAATTTCTTGGCAGGTGGTACCAATGTAGATGCTAATAAACTAGTCATCAAAGACCACATATAGAATTAGTATAGATAGATGTAGATATAGATGATATATAGATATAGATTTTATATATATACTTTGTTGTTTGTTTTTAGGTGACATCAAGACATCAAGTTGACTATAAACTCAGAGATCCTCTGATCAGTCCCTTGTGCCATATCTAGCAGCATCCTCACAATCTGTTCATGCTTGAGCTCTTTGCTCTTGTCACTGTGTCAGTCCACCTCATTGACAGTCTCCCTTTATTTTGCTGACCATGGTGGGCAAACTTAAGAGAGATAGAAAGATAAGTGGCTACCCAGGGTTGGAGTGTTTGGGGAGCAATGATTGCTAATGGGTAAAGAGTTTCTATGGAGAGATATTTTTAAAGTCCCCCAACTGACTGGCTGGTGGTGCCTGCAAAACCACCGAATTGGTATTTTTTTAAAAGTAATAGTGAAAATATTTAACTCTATCGTTTCATAGCTGCTTATTGCATTCACATGACTACAAATCTGTGTTCAGGAGGTTAACCATTGAAAGAGTTGCAAACTTACATACTTTCAACACATCATGCTAAAGTTCACTGAAAAGACAGGGAAGAAATGGAAGACCAAAAGAAGTGTCAGAAGAGACTCTGAAACTTGCTCTGGAGCACTCAGAAGCCAAAGTGAAGGGAAGACATAATGAAGTAAGAGAGCTGAACTGAAGTTCTCAGAGGCAGCTCAAGAAGGCAAAGCGAAGTATTAAAATAAAAAGGACATTTCATTTAAAACACAATTTAAAAAGAATTATTTTTTAAAAATGAAATACATACAAAGATTTGGAGTTAGAAAATCAAAGGAGAAGAACACAATTATGACTTCTCAAGTTAAAAGAGCTAAAGAACAAATTCAAGTCTACAATTGAAATACTGAAGGATTCTATGGGTCAAATATTAAATGACGTGCACCACCTCAAAAGGAGATGGGGAAAATATAGGGGGTGGGGAAGAAGAATAATGGAAAACATAGAGTCACTCAACAAAAAGAATTGGTCAACACTGAACCATTTAGGAAGGATTTTATGAACAAGAACCAGTGGTACAAAAGGAAGAAGTCGAAGCTGCACTAACAGCATTGGGGGGTGGGGGTGGGGGAAAGACTCCAGGAATCGATAGAATACTAGTTATGCCAAGAAATTTCGAATACTTGCCTAACTAACTGCAAGAAATCTATACTTCTTTCCCATAAAAAAAGGGTGACTCACTAGAGCACAATAAGTCTTTTCATTTCCTGGCTGCTGGTGCCAAGAGTGTTTGTTGATTATGGAGTCAAGCAAACTAAAGATGTTAACAGTCTCAATCTCTTCACCATCTATCATGATGCTGCAAATCGGCCCAGTGGTGAGAATCTTTGTTTTCTTGATACTCAGTCCATATTGAAGATTGCAGTCCTTGACCTTCTGCAGCAAGCGCTTCAGGTCCTCCTCAGTTTCAGCAGGTAGGGTTGTGTCATCTGCGTAACACAGATTGTTGATGAATCTTCCTCCAATCCTGATGCCACATTTCTCCTCAAAGAGCCCCATCTCCCAGATGATCTGTTCTGCATATAGATTGAAAAGGTATGGAGATAGGTCACATCGCTGGTGTATGCCTTTCCAATTTTGAACCATGCAGTTGTTTCCTTGCTCTGTTCTGATGACTGCCTCCTGTCCAAGTGTAGATTTCACATTAGCAAGATGAAGTGTTTTGGACTTCCCATTCTTCTCTGAGTTAGCCACAGTTTATTGTGATCCACACAGTCAAACACCTTTGCATAATCAATGAAGCACAGAAGATGTCAGCACTTGGGGAGAAAAAGATACCATGTTTGAAAAAGGAGAGGGTCAACAAAGAGAGGAAGACTGGATGGACATTGGGTGACTGCAACAATGAATGGGCTTGAGAATGGCAGACATTGTGAGGATGGCGCAGGATTGGGCAAGGTTTCCATTTGTTTTGTTTTTATAGAGTCAGTATGAGTCATATTTGACTTGATGGTACATAACAAACTCTAATACACTGAACTCAATTATCTTATTTACAAAGAAAATGAAAGGTGTGTATGTGTAAGGCAGAGTAACTTTGGATAAAGCCAGAGCGAACCTCACACAGGGTTTGGGAAGTGTTTGAGAATGCTGAGATTGATGGACTTCCAGCTGTGATATAGCTTGCTTGGTCTCGAGAGTAAGGCGTCCCTGGAACTACTGACTTTCAGAAGCAGGGTCCCTGGGGTGAATCACGTGCTGATTGGCTGTTGTAGATGCTTGAGTCTGTCACTGATTGGCTGACTTTTAGAAGCTTGGCGTTGTCATTGATTTACTAACTTTGAGTAGCATAGTTACTGGAGTGAAGCTGTTGTTGACTGGCTGGTTTTCAGAAGTATTAGAATGAGGTTGCCGCTGATTGGTTCAGTTTGTGTATGAGTGTGTGTGATTAACTCTAAACAATGGTGGCTCTTACTCTGGAATTGGGATTTCAGCCAAAATAAATTTCTTCCTTTCTTAAATATAAGAATAAGCTATCTTAATTCTCATCCTTTTTCCTTAGCTAAATCTGTAGAAGACATTACAGGGCTGTTTACATCTTTCTTTATAACATTGGGGTTTTCAGCTTGCCTTGCCATTTACGTAATTTAATTCCAAATTTCTAGCGGAAATACAGCTCTAACGATTTTCTGTAGTTTCTTGACGAAAGATGATTACAGGACATTTCAGACATCCTGACAAGGATGTCAATCAATATAAGACAATAAAGAAATAAGCTTTGGTAACGCAAAATCATTAATTGCGCTTGGCCGCTGGCTGGTCAATGATGCATTCTCCAGTTCTACAGAAGAAAAGACTGCAGTGATTAAATGTCGTGTTCGAGGATCCCTCCGTCGGAAATGGATAGAGGAGCCTGGATCTGAACAATAAAGGACAGGGGGGTATTGGGGGAGAGATCTTGAGCATCCGTTATGCCCACGCCCTGCTCACCGCTAACCCGAGGGATGCAGAGATGACTTTTGAAATCAGTGGTGTTCAATTAACAGAGGGTGAGGAGTGAACAGAGAAGCACTCCTGATGGGGACCCGGAGAAGCCACTAGGGTATCTGCAAGACGTTCACAACTAAAGCAGAAGCCGGAGGGGTGGGGCGAGGCTCGCGTGGCCACGCCCCGGGCACATCCTTGAGCGCGGGTGGGTGGTGCTGCAGACAGACCCCCGACTGTGCAGAAGCTGCTGGAGACAGAGCGCGGTGGTGCAGCCCCTTCCCCTTAGAGACCTGAGTTACCCCCGCCCAGCCGGCGGCCCCGCAGTGTCAGGGGGGCGCGGCCAT